TTTAATTAAAGTTTCCTGTTTTATTAAATCCTAGTGCAAATAAAGTAGCACTGTTTTAACATATATAACAGTGGAATTCCTTTCCTACTGCATGACNTCCACTTATCTTAAGACCTTTTTGCTTTAGATACATTTTCAGCTGCTTGTTGGTAAGCGCTTTTACATCTCTTTCAATTGTCCAAGAAATTAGCGGACAAGGGTTCCTTTCTCTTACTCTTTTTTTGGCCTTTGCATTCGGGAACTCAAGGTGCTGTACCTAACTTTTACATGCAGTCTCGTCCACGTTGTACTGGGAACATAACTCTTGCAAAGACCTTTCTTCAGATAGGAAAACAACAGTTCATAGATCAGAACACCTTAGAGTTGATAAATTTGTCAGATTTATTCCAATGTTAGCATTTATATTTGAACTGTAACAACTCTTCCACTACTTTTCCACTATGCAAAAAGGAATGAAAAAGTAATGCCCCCCTTGTATGTATTAAATTTTACATCCAACCCCCCCTCTCTCTTGTTATCATTTTCTCCTATGCCTCCCCCCCTCTAATTTTCCAAGCCCCCTTTCCAGGTAATTATTGCACAGTCCCTTAGTTGGGGCACAGCGCGAAAAACAGTGCGCGAAAAAGCGGTCACTCCAAAACGCAGACCATGCAGACCATGCAGACTGTGCAGACTGAGTACTTTTTTTTTCTTATTCTTGTTTTTGCATTGATTTTTGACTCGCATATCTTTTGGTTCTGTTCAATCATATATCGGAGTGTTTGTTATCCACAGGCCGCGCAAACTCGGTGGTATGTGACTGTTGATGTGTTATAGATTTACAAGGGAAACTCCCTTTAGTCCTAAAGATGCTTAAGTAAAGCTATTTTAAAATGTAGAAATAAACTTCACTTGTAATGTAATGTCACACGTAACATGCGCATTTTCTACTCTTGGTGTACAAAGTGTATTTCAAATGGCTGTTGGAGTGTGACTGCGATAACGCCAAAAAAAGCCTAGCGCATGGAAAGATCGATCACAGAAAACCGAATAGCATTTGAAATTCTCAGCGAAGTACGGTTGCCGTGATGAGTTGATGGGATGGTTAATTTATCTGTCCTTATGGCAGTTGTCTTTTTCTGCCGATTTAGGCTACGAGTGGTCCCTCTTTCGCTTAGTCCATCGTGCGTGACGCATAACCTCGAAGAAAAAATTTCATGCGAGCATTTTTTTTTCCTAGTCATGTTCAACTAAGCGAAAGAGGGAATCATATACTCCTAGTCTAATGGTGATTCTGTGCTTTGTGAAGCAAAAGCGATTTGTGGGACGAGGTCGCTTAGAGTCACCGTCCTTGCTTTGTTTTACGAACCAGTTAAGAGGAGAACGAAGACTAAGAAAATCGAAAAAAACAAAACAACAAATTGGACAAAATAAATGAAACCTCAAACTCGTCGAAAATTGACGCAATTTGCGCCCAGAATGTATGGAAGTTTATTTTTATGCCTAATTTTAGTATATTTAGGACCAGTAAAGGGAATTTCATATAGAAGGTCTATTAAACGCGTGAATCAACAGTCAGATGTTGAGCTTGTGCCGCCTGTGGATAAATAACAAACATTAGGACATACTGAACACTATTTTAACACTAGAAGCGAAAAAAGTGAGTCAAGTGTTAGAAAAAAAGTACTCAGTCTGCACGGTCTGCACGGTCCGCAGTCTGCATAGTCTGCGTTTCGGGGTGACCGGCGAAAAGCACCGTTTTTCGCGCTGCGCCCCAGCTAACTAACTGAACGCCTGAAGAGGTAAGAAATCGAGTGGCGAAGCTCTGAGACGAGACCTCACAAGTCTCTACCCCGCCGGATGGCTACTCAGAATGTGAGCCTGCTCGCAGGCTACACAAATATCGGCGTTTCGCATCTTCCGCTAACAATTTTTTTTTTTTTTTAAGGGAGAAAAATACATATAGTTTTACAGTCTGCAAAAAGATAACTTCTATAAGCAGTCAATTTTGCTGCAGGCACTCGCACAATATCTACCGGGATAAGTACCCTTTTCTCGCAAGTGTATCACGCACCAGGGTTAGGGACTCCACTTTCAACATATCTATTTCTTAAGTTATTGTAGTTTTTGTCAGTTTCTATGTAAATGTGTTTTAAGTGTTTAGAGTGAATAAAACATTGTCATTGTCATTGTCAGAATAAACACCAGTAGTCTAATTTAAGGAGCTTTGGTCGACTTCATAACAGTCTAGACAATCATGAATTGTTCCAATTAAACTTGCCTTCTCTATCAAGCAAGCTAACTTAGGTCTAATGACAAGAAGTCAAATAAACGTGAGAGTGGACAACCCCGGGTGCAGTTTGTGAAAATCACACCTACCATCTCTTCACAGTGTAGAGTAAATGGGTCTTAAACAAGAAATAAAATGCAAACAGCGGCAACAAACATAACACATGAACTACGCATGGTTTGGAACAAAAATCTAAAATTTTCTTGACATTTCGCATGCTACTGCACGCATCTTCAGAAGTGACGGTTACAAAAAAACGAAAGATTTAAAACTTAAAAATACAAAGCGAGGTACTGGTAACTAACTAAACAATAACGAAAGCAAAAGGTGATAGCTAATAAAGTGACAGCTTTTCACTGCTAGCATTGTCATTAAGTGTTGGTTTTAAGTCTCGTATACTGAACAATGTTTGTAAAACAAAAGAAACATTAACAATTAATGACAATGCTAGCAGTGAAAAGCTGTCACTTTATTAGCTATCACCTTTTGTTTTCCTTATTGTTTAGTTAGTTACCAGTACCTCGCTTTGTATTTTTAAGTTTTAAATCTTTCGTTTTTTTGTAACCGCCACTTCTGAAGATGCGTGCTGTAGCATGCGAAACGTCAAGAAAATTTTAGATTGTTGTTCCAAACCATGCGTAGTTCATGTGTTATGTTTGTTGCCGCTGTTTGCATTTTATTTCTTGTTAAATTGAAATGGCCAAAGAACAAGAGTGTTTAAAATGGGTCTTTATTCTTTGATTTTAGCGTTTTTCCCTCTAAAAACATGGCCCGATGTTTCCTGTCTCTACCAGAAATATTGAGAAGGTTGATGTTTGGGTGTGTAGGTGGTCCATGAGGAGGTCGCAGAGGTGCTGAGTCATTAAAAGAATAACTTCTTATCAGCAGCTTGATGGCATACCTTGTGACTAAATCCAATATCGGTATAAACACTTGGATCTTGGCACAGACATGGAGCTTGAGTCATCAGTCAAGGGGTGTCCGGCGGCAGGGCAGCCTGGCAGGTTGAACACAGCATGGCTGAAATCAAATCACTTGTATTTGATTAAGTACTTATCAATGAAGAGCTGACTGCAGACAGATAAAATCTTCAGTCAAACACATTGCTGAGTGCTGCTGCCTGCTGGTACAGCTTGGGAGTTATCATCCATGTGATAATGATGGTTATTTACTCTGAGACAACTGGAGATGACCCCACACATTTATTTTACCAAGATTTCAGCCTGCCCATAAATAAACCTCTCACTTTTGTCCT